ATCAGACGCGCCGAGCGAGACGCAGCGCTATCCGGGGGATTTAAACCGCTATTCGCCGCCGTCCGCGCCCGGAGCTCTCCCTCTATCGCCTTGGATCTGCTCTCTCCTTGGATTATTACCGTCCTTTATTCCTTGGCGCGACGCGCACAAGATGTAAGGAGGTTTTGCGCGTGCAGAATCACGGGGAACACAGGAACGCACTCGTTAAAACAAGGTAAGAGCAGTTAATCACTTTATTCTAATGTCAGGAACGGGTGGGAATAAAGCATGCACTTCAGACGAAGAGCGTCTGAAGAACTGCACGCGCTCGGAGAAGGTGGTGCCTTGCGCGCAGTTTGCGCTCCAGACGCGTTTTGCGCATTAGGAATAAACTCATTTTTGACGCGTTTCAAGACTTTACAGCCGGTTTCCGCGTTTTTGGGGGGGTGTTATCCACCAGCTACATCCGTGGGACAGTCATCCCGCCCAAAGGCTCTCAAAGCCCCGCTCGTGTAAAGCGAGAATGGATGCCACCGTGCGCCGTGCCAGCCTCGCACATCTGATTTCAAGCGCATTTATAATCAAAGTCTGGTTATGCATCTGATTTGTTCTTGCAAACTGATGCCGGCTCTGCGATCTTCTGAGATTCGGTCCAGAAATACCCACCTGCTGGAAACTAGTGAGCAACGCTCAATTTCAGCGGACTCCGTTCTTAAAATCAACATGTAGTCTGGAGAGGTTTTAGTTGACGGTTTTGTTCCCAAAACTAAGAAAACCGCGCGTATTTGCATTTTATAAATGATTTATGAACATCAGTTCTTTTAGAAATCAATTGCATGCTCCAAAACGGGTGCTCTCTCTATATATGCATGTCTTTTTATGATGGTTCTCATGCACTTAGAAGAGCTTAATGCACTGATTTAGCAGTGAATTGGCATGTTAATGCATTGTGCTTTATTGTGAATGCACTAAATATAGGAACTGAATAGAGCAATTAAAGCTGTGTAGCCACTGAAGACATTGATGGGAACACGGAATATGGGTTCTCATGGGCTGAACTCTTGCTTGTGCTATATTTGTGCTATAATATTTCATGCCGGGTGGATTTGTGTTTTTGGACATGCTGTCTCGGTGCGGTGTGGTCTTCAGTGCATCCTGTGCTGGATTTGCATAAAACGAGGCTTGGCAGTGGAGTAATTCAAAGCCACACCCTCTTTATGCACTTACATCATAATCTCATGCCAGATTTGAATAAATTAGGATGATTGTTTCACGTTTTAGTTGCATGTCCTCAATGATTCCAAGAAGGTTTTTGACAGATCTTGCCCGTTTCCATAGGCAAATTTGTCCTCAAACTACAAACTGGCACGCACTAGTCAAAGATCGTCTTGTATGTGTATCGAAATTTCTTCAAAAAGGAGGATTTTGTCAGATTTGATTGGCTCAAACTATCAAAAATCATCTCTTTTTTTGATAAATGTACACCTAAATGTCCTCGGTGTCTCCAAATGGAGGTTTTTGCTCACTTCTACAGGCAAATGTGTCCTCTAAATGTGTCCTAACTCACGCTAGATGGGAACACGGAATATGGGTTCTCATGGGCTGAACTCTTGCTTGTGCTATATTTGTGCTATAATATTTCATGCCGGGTGGATTTGTGTTTTTGGACATGCTGTCTCGGTGCGGTGTGGTCTTCAGTGCATCCTGTGCTGGATTTGCATAAAACGAGGCTTGGCAGTGGAGTAATTCAAAGCCACACCCTCTTTATGCACTTACATCATAATCTCATGCCAGATTTGAATAAATTAGGATGATTGTTTCACGTTTTAGTTGCATGTCCTCAATGACTCCAAGAAGGTTTTTGACAGATTTTGCCCATTTCCATAGGCAAATTTGTCCTCAAACTACAAACTGGCACGCACTAGTCAAAGATCGTCTTGTATGTGTATCGAAATTTCTTCAAAAAGGAGGATTTTGTCAGATTTGATTGGCTCAAACTATCAAAAATCATCTCTTTTTTTGATAAATGTACACCTAAATGTCCTCGGTGTCTCCAAATGGAGGTTTTTGCTCACTTCTACAGGCAAATGTGTCCTCTAAATGTGTCCTAACTCACGCTAGTCGAAATCCATCTGTTTTAATAACTGTACATCTGCAGTGTCTCAAAATGGAGTTTCTGTCCGATTTTTCACACGGGCTATAGTCAAAAATCATCTCGTCATATTTAAAACATCCCCAGTGTCACAAAACCAAGGTTTTTTTTCTCTGATTTTGTTGGCTCAAATGATCAAAATTGTGATTATTTTAATAAATCTATATCTAAATGTCCAAAATAGAGGTTTTAGTCTGTTTCTTTTTTGGTAAATTTGTCCTCAAACTATATCTAATTCACACACCGGTCACAAATCATCTCTGTTTTATTTAAAAGTACATCTAAATGTCCTCAGTGTCTCAAAACTGAGTTTTTTTCTGAGATTTTGCGGGCTCAAGCTATCACAAATCGTCTCGTTTTTAATAAACGCATGTCTAAATGGCCTCAGTGTCTCAAAATGGAGGAACTGTCAGATTGTGTTGGTAGATTTGACCTCAAACTCTATCTAAAAGTCAAAAATCATCTTTATTTTCATAAATATAGGCGATAATTTAATGTCCTCAAAGTCCCAAAATGGAGGTTTTGGTCAGATTACATTGACAAATTACAGATTGCAAATTATCAAAAATTGTTCCTATTTTGATAAATATATGTCTAAATGGCTTCCATGTCTCAAAATGTCTCCATGTCTCCATGTCAGAGGTTTTTTTTGGTCAGATTTTTTATTTTTTTTGGCTCAAAGTATCAAAAATAATCTCTGTTTTAAGAAATGTATATCTAAATGTCTAATTTTGTCAGTTTTTGTCGGTAAATTTGCCTTAAAATATACATATAAATATACAAAAATCATCTTTGTTTTAATATATGTGTATATATATATATATATATAAATATATATTTATAATAGAAATAGAAATACCCTTAATGTCTCAAAATGGAGATTTTTGTCAGATTTTATTGGCTCAAATCATCTTTATTTTGATAAAAGTATATTGAAATGTCCTCACTGTTTCCAAATGGAGATTTTTTGTTGGATTACATTTACGAATTACAGATTACATTACAAATTACAAAATTATAAATGATTCAAAATTATCCCTATTTTTATAAACTCATCTAAATGGCTTCTGTTTCTCAAAATGGAGATTTCTGTCAGATTTTATTGGCTCAAATGATTGAAAATCATCTCTGTTTTTATAAATGTATATCTAAATGGCCTCGTTGTCGCCAAATGAAGGTTTTTGTTAGATTTTTGGTAAATTTGTCCACAAACTCTACCTAAATACGTATTTACTCACACACTAGTAAAAAACATATTTATTTTAATAAATGCATATATAAATATAAATAATTATAATATAAATATAAATGTCCATGCGTCTCAAAATTGAAATTTTTTGTCAGATTTTATTGGCTCAAATGATCAAAAATCATTATTTTGATAAAGTTTTGTTGGATTACATTTACAAATTACAGATTATATTAAAAATTACAGATTACAAGTGTTCAAAAATCATCCCCGTTTTAATACATTTATATCTAAATGGCTTCTATGTCTCAAAATGGAGATTTCTGTCAGATTTCATTGGCTCAAATGATCCAAAATCATCTTTTTATTTGTAAATGTCTATCTAAATGGCCTCCGTGGAGGTTTTTGACAGATTTTTGGTAAATTTGTCCTCAAACTCTACCTAAATGCTCACACACTAGTCATAAACCATCTCTGTTTTAAGAAATGTGTTTCTAAATGTCTCCAAATGGAGGATTGTGTCTTGTTGTGTTGGCTCAAACTCTATGTAAAGATGTCCTAGCCGTTGGGATGGGATTGGGCTGATGAAGCGAGCTCACCGTTTGTTGTCGTTCGGCTTCCCTGCAGGACATCTCAGTCCATTTATAGGCTGCAGGTGGGTGCCGCGGCCAGACGAGAGGCATCGAGTGCGCTTGTGTTGTGTTTAGGCCCGGTGGTGAATGAAGAAGTCGGATTTGTCTCTTGATTTGCGTCTAGTTCTCCCGGCAGTGAAGAGGGATAAATACCTGTCATTCCTTATGTATGAAAACGCTCGTCGTTGCTGCATGAATGGACATTGTGTTATTTACGCAGCGAGTCCCGCGGGCCGCTATCACTCCAGTGCGCTGACGGACTGATCAGGCCACTTATATCTACAACAGACACCGCTAGCACTGATATGCCACACTTACACGTTAACTGCACTTGTTAGGGGCTAAACTCAGACTGGTGACGTAACCAAACTGACTATAATGATGAGTAATCATTGCTAAAATTTGTATTTTACAATAAAATAAAATAAAATAAAACCAATATATAAAAAATTATGTAACTCAAATAGGTACTATTTATTTGCATTTTATGTGTGTGTGTG